AATCGGTGTCGTTTGCGAGGTATTCATGAAAATCAACGACGATTCGGATATAGAGGGACCTCAGTTGTCTTTATGTATATATGACCTGCACGATTGTAACGATACATTATAAATACAGTCGACTCTGTCTTAACCCATACCTGTCATAACCCATAACCTGTAATAACCCATAGGTTTTTGGCTTCCACCGACATGGTAGATAGTAAAAACCCATAAGTCTGCCGTATCCCATAACCCATAGCTTTTTGAAGGGTCATAACCCATAAAACAACCTATATTAGGAAGGTACAGGTCTCCTTCTCACGAGAATCTGGACCATCTGGACCCTTAATTTTTTGGTTCTCGTGGTATTTCAGAAGATAACCCATACCAGACTCAAGATTCCGTATCTAAACGGTGTCATAAACGACGTCCGGCCTATACCGGATAGGCTGTCTGTCACGCGTACTAGGTAGTCACACAATGTCACACGTTCTGGTAACCCATAGTCTGCAGAAACCCATAACTTTTGGGTTCCACGACCCGTTATGGGTTAAGACAGAGTCGACTGTAGACGATGTACTTTTTTACTTTATCCAAAATACAGGAGCATTTTTGGTTACTTCTACACCAGCCTGGGGCTCTTACACAAGTTTCAGGAGGTCACTCAGCACTCCCATAGCCGTCACAGCAGCACCGGCCCCTGCGCCCTGGACGATGAGTGGCCTAGCACCGTACCGCTCCGTATGAAACATGATGATATTGTCTGAGCCCCCAAGGGACGTCGCGAAAGGATGAGTGACTGGGTACCTGCAAAATGACGGTGACAGTGTCAACAGGGGGTCCAGAGAGACACAGGAAGAACACTGACTTCTCGAGATCCGCCTTGATCGTACCGCTACTCACGTCCACCACGCCCACGAACCGCAGGACGTTTCCCTCCTGGTGCGCTTCCTGGCGCATCTTGTCGAATGTCTCGTCGAAGGCGGGCAGCTTCTCGATGAATTCGTCGCCAGACGCGGTGCTCTCGAGTTCCGCCGGGACGAGGGACCTCGTACTGACGGACTTGTACCCGGATGGCAGGGACGTGCGCAGGGCGGGGATGTAGCGGGAGAGGATGGTCAGCTTGCGGGCCACGTCTGCACCGTTGAGGTCGTCTGCGGGGTGCGGTTCCTGGGTAGACAAGTCAGCGACCGGCGCAATACGACATATGGGGACCGTCTACCGTATATCCCTTCTCTCGCGCAATGCGTACTACGGAGGAGAATGCGGGCCCTGTTCCTTGAGCCGGGGAGAACTCGTTGAAGATGTAGCTCATCGTCCCTGAGAAGACTCCCTCAATCTTCAGGATCTACGAGCAGCGAGTCAGATGCACATGGCCACACGATCAATTTGCATGCGCTCACCTTGTCCCCGGTCGTGACCAGGTCCTTCAACGTCGAGATAATGGGCAGGCCAGCCCCCACCGTAGCCTCATTTAAGAACCGCGCACCGCTTGCCGCACTTGCGCTCAGGATGTCATCGTACAACGACAACTCTCCAGAGAACGCCTTCTTGTTTGGTGTAATGACATTCACGCCCGCCTTCAGGAAGGCAGGGTATGACTCTGCAACGGCTTCAGAAGCCGTATTATCCACTAGCACAACTTTCTGGTTGGGCCCTACGAGCTTGGACAGCTCCTTCGCCAGGTCCGAGAAACTGCCGGGCTGTGTCCCCGACTTTGCCAGGTCGCTCTTCCATCCTTGGGAGGAGAACGAGAGCCCATTCTGCGAGAGCAGACTTGTTTTCGACGAAGAGAGGGAAACCAGGCGAAACGGATTAGGGGCCGGTAAAGCCAACAGCTGATCGACGAATTCAGCGCCCACAAGGCCCACTCCTATGACGGCCACAGAGATGGTCTGATTCGACGCAAGAGAGGCCATGGTAGGAGATCTTGGTAGGAAACTGAGCTCTGGCCGACGATGTCCGAAGGCCCCTCTGATAATCGGATTCCTCTACTGAACGTAATCGAGTCATCATTCGCCTCAGTACGATGCTTGTAGCGAATGTAGCATCTAGTACAGACCAAGGCGTTGAACATTTCTAGAGAGAGGTTAGGTAGGCGAATATGGTCACAATACGTAGGTGCGAGATGCGACCATCGTTCAATCCATGGGTGAAGAATACCTCGCAGGACCCACAATGTCTGAAACTAACAACCTAATCATTCATCGTCAAGATACACGAGCAATTTCTAACTACTGAACCCCAGCCCACACCCAGCCAGACCAAGCCTCACTCTCCAGACCACAACCGCAATCACAAACCCATACCATACCAAACCCATCCCCTCTCCTCCACCCACCACCTTCCTCACCCGGAAGAAGAAGAGCCAACGGAAATGGTACTGATACAAAGTGCGATGCGATGCGATTGCCGAAGTATAAGAGACACAGGATCGACGAAAATGGCCGGGGCGATGCGAGCCGGGGGGAAAGGTGAAAAATCTATGGGCATTGAAGGAGTGTGTGTATGTCGTAAGCTGAAGAGGAGCCAGAGAGGAAAGGGCCGGCCTAGAAGGTAAGGCCGGCCAGCAGGCAATTGTACGAGATGGTATCAGGGGGTGTCGGAGGGTATGCTGATATACACATTGACTGCAAAGCAAACCTGAATTCAGCGTCGAGTCGACGAAGAGAAGGGAAGAGAACTTACTGCAAAACCAACTTACACCCAACCCAACAGACAATACGTACAACAAGAATGCGAAGCGCAAATAGGTGGAAGAGTATGTAAGGTAAAATGGGTAGCCATGTCCTCGATGCGGAGGGACATACTGAACTACTGTACACAGAAACGTGAAGGGGTAGAAAAAGGCCTAACGCCACAACGAATCGCAAAAACCCCAATGTGTGAAGTTAAATACGACCCATGAAACCAGACACAAAAACAGCGGATACGATGGAAAAGATGACGGTGCGAACGATACTTGATACACATTGTCATGCACAGACGATAAGAAAAGGGCGGAGATGGTGTGGGGGATAGTGGTGGTGTGCAGGCGTAGAAGAATCGAGGCAGCCGCCTGCGCGACAGTCCCCGAATAAATATCTCCAAGCCTCCTGAACAACGACGGAAGACGTGGGCGAGCAGATGATACTCTATAGTAGATTATGAATCGTGGTCGAGAGTCCCAATAACACACTCCAAGAAACAAACAGGTGAGGGCGGAGGGGAAACAATATGACCGTGGTGCTCGACCGGTGGGGGTAGGAGTGTCGGCGCCCAGGGTGAATATATAAATAAGCAGGTCGGCAGACGACGCTGGATTATAGATACCGGATAACAACGATGTCTCGAGCGAGGGATGAAGGCGACCGCGGGGGTGAGTGAACGGTCGCCAAGAGCTGGAGGAGAGCGAGCTTCGTCCGCGCTTGACGTCGTGGCTTTTGATACAACCTCGCGCCCTCATGCGCGTTGAGGGCGAGGTAAACCATTGAGCAGTCGATAGAGGAGAAATGCCGTTGCAATCCATGCTGAATGCTTTATGTATGTCTTGTAATACGGTATTGTGGATTGAGGAGGGCTGATATTGAAACATTGATGTGAGGAGATAAAGATGCCTGTTTGAACACAGGCCACGGTCGGCCATCCGTTCTATGAATCGCGGTGAACCGATCCGAAGCGTCGCGAACCCCCTAGTGGGGCGGACGCTTGAAGCGCGAGGGTGTCCTAAAATGCGAGAACCAAAAGACGTCTATAAACCGTTTGAAATGATGGAATGCCGAAGGGCAAGGGCAAATGGCTAGTCATGTCCCGGTCATGCGTGCAGATCGAAAATGGCGAACGTCGAGAGCGAATAATGATAACTTGAAAATTAAATCTTGCAATTTAACTGAGTATTGCGCTCGGCGTCGAGCCGTAAGGAACGAGTGAATTTCGATTGACGCCACGAACGTCTGAGCTGACGTGTGGACAGTGACGAGACAGCCGCCTGTGGAAAGAGTCTATCAATACATGACCTGTGGCATTCACTCGAAAATCGAACCTTTGCACTCCCAAAATCGCCGTCCGCTGATGCTTAGAACCGAGCACCGAAGGTCGGAGCAGGGAGATCCTCTGGGCTGGGCGAGTTCTGGAACATAGAACTCGCGAAGAAGGGTGCCTTCTCCTCTTCCTGCTGCCAGAAGTTACGCTTGGGGCCCGCCTTATGGGTGGGCAAAGACTGGCGCTTGAGCAAGCTGCTCATGCTCTTAGACGCGAGCTGGGCCGTGGAAGGCGCCTCGTCGTCAGAGGACATGTGGAACACACCCTCGCTGGGGGCACGCTGATGATACCTTGGCCGCTGACGCCTCGGAGGGGTGAAGGGCAAGTCGACCTTGAAGACATCATTGAAAGGCCATCCGCTAGCCGAGTTAAGAGGAGCAGTGCGAGGACCTTCATCGGCAAGCGCCAGCTGCTGCCAAGTCGCCGCCTCACGGATTGGGGTAGAGGGCGCGGTGGTACTGTCGCTTGCGTTATCAGTATCGTCGCACACGGGGAAGGAATCCCATTCCGGAAGGCCGGATGACGAGCTAGACAAGGACGACGCTGTGGCAAAGCGCTTGGCGGCGGGCCTCTCAATCATGTTGGAGAGGACAGGGTCAGAGCGAGAGAGCTGCATGGCAGCAGACTCCCTCTCCGACTTCAGAGGAGTACCAGCTCGAGGCACGGGCACAGCCTTCACCTTCGCCTTGGAGGGCGTGGGAGACTCCGCGCGGCCAGCAGGGACGCGGCGACGGGCGAGTCGTCCAGAAGGGCGCTCGTTTAACTTAGGGATGCGAGGAGCACCAGCTTGCTTCGCAGGCGTAACAGAACGAGCGGACGGAGTGATCGACTCAGAGCCAGCGGTGTCCGAGTCATCAGAAGCAAGAAAGGGGTCGAACGAATTTACATTGGCCTTGGGTAAGGAGGGAAGACCTGAAAGTTGGGCGACCTCTGCCTGCGAGGGTATTACGTCGGGAGCGGGAGGGGATGGTTGGTGGTGGTGGGTCTGGTTCTGACGCCGCGCGGAGTTACGGACGGTAGATTGGGAGGCGCTCCTATTAACGCATCGACCGGGAGAGAGCGCCGAAATGAAATCATATCGGTCACTATCGGTCACCATCTATCCATGTCGACATAACAGGACACGTACCTTCGAGAGCCTTTATCTTTTGGGGGTTTGGCATGAGAGCGACCCCTGCTGTTCTTGTCGGGCGTCTGTAAGGCTGCGGCTTTGAACTGCGCGTTGGGCGCCGCCACAGCGTCTGACGCGGGCTTGACCAGTCCAGCGGGCTTCTTATCGTCGTCCTTTGGTTGATGCTTGGCCTGCGCAGGCGACCGCTGAGCCTGGCTAAGAGTCGCCTTCGCCCGCGGCGCCGCTCGTTGTTGTCGCGACGGTTGGACGTGCGATCTGGGTGTCGAAGGACGCGCAGGCTTCGACAGACTAAGAAGACCTGGAGTCTTTGTCGGCTGGACGATCACGGCCGGAGGCGCTGAGGGGTGTCGTCGGTGCGAATGAGCAATGTTCGACATTGTTGGCAGCAGCGCCTGCGGTTGTTTCTGGACGAGAATCATGTTGACGAGGGAGTATTGAGGGGGTAGAGAGGATTAATGGTTGGGAGAGCGGACAGCGCGGCGACGGCGTCGACGTCGTTGGCGATGAAGGCAAGGCAGAGTCTTGAGAACGGAATGTGATGGAAAGGCGAGCAGAGCGGAAGCCAACGGCAGTTTTGGTTGGCCCTCGTGGGGCGTTTCAAGCTCCGACGGTGATGTGCCCGTCACGGCGGATCCCGGGAACTGGACCCATGGTACCATTGTGCACCACTTGCCGAGGTCTGCCGACTGGCCTGCCCCTGCACACGCACAGCCGCTATCGCTGCCAGAAGACAGGCCAATACAGATACCATCCGCCTGCTGACCTCGACCCTTCACTGGGTCGTAGAATAGTCGCGTTTTCTAGTCTTCGCGTTCCCAGCGGTCAGAGTTTAGGTTCAGAATTGTTTGGGGGAAGGGATTACACTCGAACCGTCGGATGCGGGGACAAAGGTCACCCGGAGCAATTGTCTAGCTCGTCTTTCCTACTTTTGTCTTGGGAGGGACCCACAGCGACCCACTTTCCCCACTGCGAAGGAGACAAAGATGGTCGCTATCATATCGTACCCTGCAATTGAGTGCGCCGTCCTGGAAGATTCGCAACATCAACGCAAAAACGTTGTTTTCCTGGATACTGCGGAAACGTTAGGTGACAGCACTGCACTGCTACAATCACCGAACAGAACACGACAGGCAACTCGACCCGTCGTCCTTGGATGAGCTGGCACAGCGTCTTTTTCTCGGGAGAAACGGAGGACAGGCGTCACTCCGATAGCCCGACCTGTCATTCACGTTTCCGCTCTGAATCTGATGGATAATAGAGGCCAGACCTCCGACGATCCAGCACAATCCAATACGTTACGCGGGAGGCCAGGAATAGCCTAGGTTTCACCCTCGAGAAGGCAAGCTGAACCGGCGGTCCGTCACTGCACGCGCATCCGACTTTCATAGCCTTGCACCTCCCCTCATGTCCATGCATGTCGGAACTTGGAGGCTGATGACACTTCACAGTCCCGAGCCACTCTCTCATCCAGATGCTCCGGTGAAACTGGACCCTTATCTCTGCAGAAGGTTTGGATTATATACGTCCATAGAGGAAACTGTAATGAGGAATACAAGCACGAATAACACACCCTTATTACCATTCGCACCGCTATTATCGCTCGCCACGATCGCTCCTCGAGCTCGACTTGTTTCCCAGTCTTGATACCGACACTCCCGCTCCCGATCAAGCCAAGAGCATCTTCCTGGGGTCCTCGAGGTACTCCTTCAGCTTGACTATACACCCAACCGCAAACGCGATCGCGCGTCAGCCAGCCCGTCCGTCGATCACCATCCGAATGCAGGCAGTATTCAGAATCGCACCGCAGCGGTCGACGTCAGTCCGCGTAGTTCATATCAGAACAATCAATGAAAGCAATGCATCCGTCAGCAGCTGTTCCAGCGAATGAACGGGGAGACGGAAACGCACCGAGGAATGTGACAGCCTCCCGTCCGTCGAGCAAGCGATGATCGTACGTCAGCGCGACAACCATGACGGGGCGGATAACAATCTGTCCGTCGACTACCACAGGACGATCCTTGATCGCATGCATACCTAAACGAGAAACGGGTTAGTGGTCGAGGCACGCGCATCACGGGAGACGAGGAATGGCGGAAGCAAAGCAGTATGTCGTGGGGGGGGGGGGATGATAGGGGTAGGGTTCACGGAGCCGAAAACGATACTTACCCAGAACAGCGGACTGAGGGAGGTTGATGATCGGGGTACCGTACAGGGAGCCGAAGACGCCACCATTAGAGCTAGAAGTCGGAAAAGATCAGGATCCTCAGCCGTCCCTCGTACCCGAAAGCAGACTAGAGCTTACATGGTGAAGGTACCGCCAGCCATGTCCTCGAGTGTCAGTTTGCCATCGCGAGCCTGAAAGATCATCGTTAGTTCCGCAAGCCGACAACGGATCGCAACAGATAGCACCAACTTTCTTGCCCAAGTTCGCGATTTCCCTCTCGATCTCCACAAAGTTCATGCTTTCCGCATTCCGCACGACGGGAGTAACGAGACCTTTGGGCGTGGCAACAGCAACACTGAGGTCCACATAATCACGGTAGACGATTTCATCGCCCTAGCCGACCCAACGCGGATCAGTCGTGTATCGTCTCGGCTATCGAGTAACTTCCTACCTCGATAGAAGCATTAGCAGCCGGGATCTCCTTCAGCGCGAGACACGACGCCTTGGCGAACGCGCTCATGAAGCCAAGCTTGACTTCGTGCACCTTGAGCACCTCGTCCTTGTACTTCTTCCGCATGTCCATCAGTGAGAACATGTCGATCTCGTTAAACGTCGTCAGCGACGCCGCAGCGTTCTGCGACTCCTTCAATCGCTCCGCGATGCGCAGCCGCATGCGGTTCATCTTCACCTGCATTGCCAGAGCATGTAAATACGCACGTCCGAATCAGACTCGCATGCACACGAACCCTCGTCTCGTTCCTGGAACCCGCAACCTTGGGAGGCTGGACAACAGGCTCCTTCTTCTCAGGCTTCTTCTCAGCCTGTCCCGTCTTGGGCCCAGCTGCCGCGGCCTTGTCGATATCCTTTCCTGACGAAACCTCCTTCTTGCCCTCGCCCTGACCGGGCTTCACTCCTCCTCCGCCCTTGTCAGCCTGCGAAGGCTCTGGGGCCTCCGGCAGTTTCTTGTCCACTTGCTGCTCTGCCGGCTCTGCCTGGTCCGTCTTCTCCTTGGGCAGCTCTTCCGCGGATTCCGACGACTTTGCATCCTTGGGCGTCTCTCCGGACTTGGGCACCGCTCCACCCTCACCAGGCTCGTAACGGAAGAGATCCTGGCCGACGGCGACGGTGTCCTCCTCGTTCGCAAGGAGCTCGGTGATGGTACCAGCAGCGGGAGCGTTGACCGAGACATCAATCTATACAAGTGCCAGATCAGTATATGACAAAGGTAGACGCAATAGATAGGATTCTGGTGTGGGAACAGAAGCAACGCACCTTGTCAGTCTCGATGGTTGCGACCTCCTCGTCTGCCTCTACGTGGTCTCCGGGTTTCTTGTGAAACGTCCTGAGGGTTCCCTCCGATATTGACTCTGCCATTTGGGGAACCTTTACCGTTTCGGCTGTAGTCCGAAGCCTTATTTAGTATCGTAGCGCGATAGTAACAGCTGCTGCATACCTTGCAATAAACGCGAAGAGTGGAACTGCGCACGCCTGGCATACGTGCTCGCAGCATCCCTGTACTCGTTGAGACAAGATAAGTCACTAGACGAAGCATGCGCTCTCACCAGTTCTTCGACAGCACCGCGCCTGCACCCCGCGCACCAGACAGCCCGCGGCCCCGCGCGACGGCGATGATACGTTTTGACAACATTAGGGAAACAAGGATCTACAACTAACAGCGGGAAGCCAGCTCGGGCTCTAGACAGCCAGCAACACGGTGGTTGGGGGAGGGATTAGAAACGAATGACGGCCTGTTCTCAGATGCGACTAAAGTTGGCGTCGCATTCGGTCAGACTCGGGTCGTGGGACTTGTGTTGTAATGTCGTCCCGATGAGGGAGAACCTTCAGGAGGGCGGCACGGCGGCGTCGAGCTCGCAAATCACGGCGATGGTATTTCTCAAGAGGGCGTTAGAATGCTCTGTAGCACGGCCGACGGTGCAATAGAGGGCGATGCCGACGAACATCTGCAATGCGCTCGATGAAGGGGACGAACGCAGGCAAGCCGAAGGCCGGCGTACCGTGAGTACACGCCTGTTCTGCTTTGCAAGCTCGTGGATTCTCGTTCCTGTGCTTACTCGAGGGCGGCGGAGAGAGGAATTTGTTAGACATGATATATTGTCAAGTGGGATAATAGAATGGATACAATGTGCAAAGTGTTCAACAATGAAGGAAACGAAGAAAGCGGCTTGCCAGACAGCCTGATCAAGGATACGACAGAATGAACGCCTTCATTTCCCCTTCCCAGCTGCAGTCCGGTAAGCCATTGGAGTTTCCGTCGCCAGAACCGCCACAGGCCTTCTCCAGCATGGACCCGACTTGTGACATGATAGACTTGAGAGTGGTTTCAGCATCCGTAGACCTCGTGGTCAAGGAGGTGAGCTCTCCAACACTTGATGTATCGAAGGTCGACAGGATATCTCGGCGCATATAGCGTTGGGCCGAGCCAGGGACACGTCGGCTCTTGGAGGCATGTTGTAGAACCATCTTTTCGACTTGTTTGTACGTCGTGGACCCGGGCTTAGACAGATTTTCAAGCATATGTCTCGTCTGGTTGTATGCTATGTAACGCAGCTTCCCGTAGAAATGAACCAGAGAGCCAGGAGTTCCACAGACAACAGGGCAATCAGGATTCGGGCAGCCAGGAGGGTCAACACCATCTTGCTGGCACTTTCCATGAAAGAAACTGGGAAAGATCGCGGTCTCGAGCGCCGAGAAGCTCTGGTCGTCGTACGCGTTGATAATGGGCTGTAAGAGGGCTAGCGGTTCGCTTGGTCGGCTCTCCGGCCGTAGAATGTTCGCGCTAATCTGGTTTGCCTGGAAGGGGCACTCAGTCGACTAGCGGCCAATGAAACATTCATCCGTGACTTACCACAGCCGTCAAGACATCCGTCACCGGGGTCGTGTAGTTGCTGAGCCAAGCATGCGTTACGCCGTCCATGCAGGTCTGCTCACAAGCAGAGACGACGACCAGCGCCAGTGATGCGACGAGCACGACCGAGAAACGCATATAGGATTGTGGTGTGCAGGAAAGAGGGGAATAAGGTCAGTCGTTCCCGAGGCGCGTTTTTATGCGCGCATCTGTCACGTGAATTACTGCGTTACTCTGACAATGTGACAGTTGCGACGAGGTCACTCAGACACCCCGGCTAGCCCACTCTTCATGGCACTCATGATCAGCCTTCGTGCGCTGCGGCACTACGCCAGGAAAACAACAATTATTGCTGTTCTGAGAAATGTTGGCCGCGCGGGAAAAACGCAACGAACTGGGCGCGTGCGAGTTCTGTTTGCGCGTTCAGCGGTGTCTATCACTTTCACTTCCTATCTCGACGAATACATATGCTATTGCTACAATTCCTATACCATCGTGATCCTCTCATTGAGCTCTAGGTGCTGATACCAGAATCAACCCAGTCTGACAACTTTCCACTCTGGCCTTCCGGACGACCCCTTCTGCGCAACTTTGCGCATTTATCTCGTGAACGGCGCCTCCTCTCGACTTCGGACTTGTGTGTACGTCGAGTCTACCCACCAGCGCAGGTGCACAGACTATATTGGGACTACGTAACTGTGAAGATCAAAAGGCATACTCAGTCATGCACGGCCAAAAGGTTTCCGCAGATCTCTTTCATGTGATAATGTGCATGCTACCCCTCTTAAGCCGAGATGACATTGAGGCGTTTATGGGTGTTAGGGAGCGGCAAACAAGGAGGATAGCCCAGCAGTTTGAAGCGACAGGCAAGTGGTATAGTTGGTCAGATATCACCAGCAAGGGATGGCATTGAGCAGTGACTGCCGATGACAAAGGGTGCATACCATGATAGTCTTCATGTTGGTGAAGGTCAAGACTGAATATGTGTATCATAGTTTCTGCAAGGAAGGTTCAAGAGAACAGCAGTAGCGGACTGCTCTGGTGGACTATGCGGTGGTTCGGGTGGCTGCTGGCTCTGTGAAGGTGTACACAATCTGAGAGCACCCGTGTAGTTTGGGCGTGGTTTAGGGTAAGACTTCGGTGAGGGAGGAGTTGGAGCGAGCGGTTCCTCGCTGGGGTGTTCTTGTTGTTCCGCTCCCTGCCTCTACCTCAGCCAGAGCCTGTCTTGCCCCTCTTCACTTGCTGCTGCCCACATTGATTGACCACCAGCATTGAGTTAGAGGAGTATATGTGGAGAGTAAGTATAGCAGAAGTCACTTGCCAAAGTGTTGGTGTGGGCTGATACTTGAATATATAGTCTCAGTTATCCTCTATCATTCATGATAAGATCTAGTAATATTACATTGGCCAACAGGACACTACTGAACATATAGCATGTTTGGAGAGCTGTATCATAATTGGTAGAGATATATTGTAATAGGAATCCACCATGGGTGCACTCATTAGTTCTTCCTACTGACAGGTGGGGCTCGCAAGGGAAACAACCTTTGGGAACACAGTAGACCAAGCTCCACCTGATCCAAAATGATCTGCGCACCTGCGCTGGTGGGTAGACTCGACATACATACAAGTCCGAAGTCGAGAGGAGGCGCCGTTCACGAGATAAATGCGCAAAGTTGCGCAGAAGGGGTCGTCCGGAAGGCCAGAGTGGAAAGTTGTCAGACTGGGTTGATTCTGGTATCAGCACCTAGAGCTCAATGAGAGGATCACGATGGTATAGGAATTGTAGCAATAGCATATGTATTCGTCGAGATAGGAAGTGAAAGTGATAGACACCGCTGAACGCGCAAACAGAACTCGCACGCGCCCAGTTCGTTGCGTTTTTCCCGCGCGGCCAACATTTCTCAGAACAGCAATAATCCTATTACTAAACGCCAAACGGGTCTTCCATTATATGTAAAGAGTAAAGACCCCTGCTCTCCGGCTGTATACCTTGAGCTTTAGTGGTGTCACACTTTCTCGCTCCCGCAAACTTGAAGGCGTTGACTCGGAACTCTTCCCTTGCTGATTGAAGGGATCTCACTGTCCCACACGGTATGTTGTCACAGGACTCTTCTAACAAAACGACAACTTTATTATCGTCCATCCGTGTTACATCAGTACGAGAGTCCGGTTATGGCTCCTGAAATTGAAGACCAGACATATATTCAGTCACTGCCGTGCTTACCAGATGATGGAGGGCGCCTCCCTTGCAAGTCGTTATTGGGACCCTCAGCGTCATATGGAAGCGTGGCTGGATTGGCTGTTCAGGCGGCATTCAGGCTGGACGGGGATTAAGTAGAACGCTCCGGCATCCCCGAGCGCCCTGCTTCGCTATCCGCGGTCTGTCCCCAGGGATAAAACCGGAGACTTTCCTCACTCTGCTTTTGCTGGTGCTGGCGCTGCCGTCCGTATGGCGCTGCGCCTGTGCTATATCCTATGGTTCTCCCTCCTATATGCTTCCCACTTGACACAAGCTGGTTCATTCAATATAACCGTGGACGACCAGTACGGCGACCCCGTTACGGGCATCGTTCCGGTTTACTCGGAACCCTCAGTCTGGGCAGAAGGAGCCAACTGTTCTACATGCCAGTTCCACCCAGGCTCGGACGATATCAAGTATATATATATGGGCACTTGACACGAGGGCACCTACAATGTCGATTTTTGGGGACCGTCCGCAAACATGGAGATGACGTTTTCGTTCACGGGTAGGTGCAGTGTATTTACAACCAACAGTGAAAGGTATCAAAAGTAACTCACTCGCCTACCTAGGGATAGCAGTATACATATACTGCATCCTGGTAGATTCCCCCATATCTACCGTCATTACAAATTTGTTTTTCGCTGTCGATATCGACCGACCATCGAATTTGACCGGGCAATTCGGTTACACAACCACTATGGGCGCCAGCCATTGGACGTACCATACCAATGCCCTAGTATATTCGGCTACCAATCTTCCCAATACAAACCACACAATATCGATGTCGGGCTATGGTAACATGCGGTCCAGCGTCCTCTTCGACTACTTAATATATACGTGAGTCTGATAATGCAGCGCTTCTAGTGGTGTCACTTATGACATCGACGAAGTGTTAGCAATGGTAGCGACCCCATGACCAGTGTTGGTGCGACGCCAACGGCGTCATCGCAATGGACTCCACCCCCAGCCACAAGCGAGTCGTCCTTGCATAGTTCCACTGTGAATGTGGCAGCTATCGCTGGAGGTGTGGTCGGAGGAGTTGTCTTCGGCGTGGTAGCGGCTGCTACCTTCCTATTTGTGCTCTACAAGCGGCGCCGAGCGAACGTCCCAAGAAGTCTGGATCTCGATGGGTCAGAAAGGGATTACCACGGAAATCTCGATCCTTCAGCACTAGATAACACCGGAAATCCACCCCGCCAAGGATTGTCCCATACCACGGAAGCGCTAGATGATGCTACGCAACCACGCATCTCCCCGTTCACAGCTTTACCTCCCATCATTGACTCGCTATCCTCTGCGGACGTCACGAATACCGCGGTAGGCACGTCGCGATCTTCGTCTCCCACAAGGTCGGGGAAGCATAGGAGAGCTTTGACGAAGCAGATCCGCGAAAAGGAGGAAGCCCTCTCAGACCTGCAACGGCGGCAGACACTGACGGAGCAGCGAGATTCTGGGGCTGACGAAGAGTCGTGGAGAGAGATCCGACGGCTGAGGATGGAGGTGGAGCAACTACAAATGCAGATCGCTCAGCGAGAAGAGGATCTGGTTCCCCCGAGATATGAGGAGCATGAGCAATAGTCATGATCAGGCTGAATAAGAACTACACATTTCCTGGGTGTGTTCCAGCGCTTTCCACGACTTTGTTTTGCATATACTCTTAACTTATTGTCACTTGAAGCGGTAGCTTGGCTGAGCGTCTGTTCTGCCAAATTGTCTGCCTCAATGAGCGGCCGCCCCTGTGATGTGTATGGAGTATTTGCCCGCTTTTCCTCAATTGTTCAAGTTTGTTCCTGCCGATATCACATGTAGTCTCGCCCATTTTGACCTGAACAGTTGCAAGGTACCCTTTGCTCATCATCTTCCAGTGTCCCATCGACAGATCTGCCGTCGTCACCCTGCTGACCCGCCGAGTAGCGCTCCGTTGGCCTTCTCTACCTCGTATGTAAGTCGTTCCGAAGAGGACCAAACTTGCATATCATCACCGTCCTTCCCATCTTGTACACAGGTCGGAGTCGATAGTCGTCAAGTCTAAACGTAAGGCCGAGCATGCGACACCGTGCTTCCTCCCTAGTAGCACGAAGGGTGCGCATGAGCGGACCATCAAGACAATGGGCCTCACCTTCCCGGAACACCATTACAGGGACCCACAACATCATTAGATTGCTTGATGACAAGTCAGCCTGGTCGAGCCTGTACTACACGCCCCTCTTCTGTTGCACGGGGATCAGACACAATACCCCGGCGTCCCCGAGCATCACGCTTCCGCAAGCTGTGAACGCATAAAACATGTTGACACGGTTACCACTGATCCTGTTTCGCTATGTCGCGGTCTGCGTCAACATGCGTCTCGGTGCGCCTCCTCTGTCTACTGTATCTCTCCGTCATTTCCAGCCCATCTCTAGCGCAAGTAGGGCTGCTCAACGTAACTGTCGATGACCAGAATGGCGACCCCATCACGGGCATTGTTCCGACGTATTCTCCGCCTACAGATTGGGCGGCAGGAGAGGCTTGTAAGGGATGTGCCATTCAGTTCAGCGCAGATGACCGTACGCACGTATACGAGGAAACGTGGCACGACGCTACACACAGGCCGACCGACGCGGAGCCGGTGGAGATGATATTTCAGTTCACCGGTGTGTTTGTTCATGAGATGCTCAGCAGTAGTGCTCACCTAACTGGGGTCGTGCTCTAGGAGTCGCCGTGTACTTGTACTGTATCTTGGTCAGCACGTATGACACCCACCTACAGTTTGTCGTCGATGGCCAACCAGGGACCACAAATTTTGACCACTATTCAGCCCCTACCACTCAACAATATACATTCAGTGTCCCGGTGTTCTCCGCCACCAGTCTGACGAACGCGGCCCATGAGATACGGCTACAGTCCGGAGGCTCCTTGTCGTCTCTCGTCCTCTTCGACTACCTGATTTACACGTAAGCTTCCCTCTGGACATTCATAATTATTTCTTACGAGATTGATGACAAGACAGCAATGATACCAATGCCCCATCAAGCTCCTCTGCATTGCCCGCCGCCTCGTCATCCTCCCCTTCACCATCGATCACCAATACACCACCTCCCCCACGCACGTCCCATGCCAACGTGGGGGCTATTGCTGGGGGTGTCGTTGCCGGGCTCGCGCTCTCGATTCATAGCTATGCTTTTCTTTATCTTCATCCGAAGACGTCAGCACGCCAAAGCTTCTAGAAGCCTTGATCTCGAGGGGTCAGAAAAGGGTTACAACGTGAGCCCCGAGGGTGCGCCTCCCAACGCGGTCCCGAGTCGTCAGGAGTTGCTAGTCGTCACAGAAAATCACGATGACGAGGATTCCCGTATCTCGCCGTTCACGGCTTTTCCTCCCCCGGTCCATTCGACATCCTCGACGGATGTCACGGAGTCAGTGATTGCCTCGCGACGTTCATCTTCTCCAGCTCGGTCTGGGAAGCGCCAGGCCACGATAGCCAGCCAGATCCGAGAGAAGGAGGAGGCGATCTCGGCTTTACAGCGGCGGGAGACTCTAAGTCGAGCGCAGTCTCGAACGACAGCTGACAATGAGAGAAGAGGAGAATTAGATGCGACGTTGAGGGAGATGCAGCGCCTGAGATACGAGGTCGAACAACTGCGCCTGCAGATCGCTCGTCGCCCCTCTAACTACGATTGGGAGCACGACTCTGCTCCACCAATATATGATGAAAGCGATCGACGATGAAGCGACCTTCGCCAGATACCTTTGTTGGCAGGCTACTATGTATATCCAAGACGGACTTAGTACTAGGTGGCTTACTTTCAGGCATATACTCAGAGGACTCAATTCTCATAACAATCACTTGTACTCAGATTCCGGACTACGGTCTAGTCGTAGCAAACGGGAGTCAATTGCAATTACGATGAGTATGTATGAAGGGGAGACATTGCGTAAGTCGCACGAGCAGCTGCAAAGTACTAGTGACCAGGGCTTAGTAGAGCGATGAACCTATGATAAACATTGTGATAAGCTACGGCGCTGCTATATGCAAGAAGCGACGTACCTACCGGATATTGTACTGACGGGCAGTGAAGGCACTTCATCCGATGAGAGTGACGGGAACACATCCAGCAGAGGCGGAGCTGCCTGTAACGAACCATAGTATTAGAGGCATCCAGCCCATGACTCGCAAAGACCCACTGGAGGTATCACTGCAGCAAACAGGTACAGCAGCACTACGAAAGAAGTTCCTGTCAGCTAGTGCTCGTAATACCCGAGAAATGGCAGATGCTCACCAAGTAGCACCGGAACCGATGCCGCCGCCAGTCAGCGGCGAGCAGTCCATCGCGAAGTCAGAGTTCAACAGATCCGCAGCGATGCCTAGGATGCCAGCGATCTCGGTGGCGCCGGGGGTGCCCGCCTTCTGATAAGTTTGGCAGCACTGCAGGGCGCCAGTGTTGCACTGGGAGGCAGGGATAGGGGAGCCGCCGGGGGTGGGCGCAGCAAAGGCGAAGGCAAGGATGGACGCGAAAGTGATGAGCTTGGAGAACATTTTTGTATGTTTAGGGAGGGAAAGAGCGTGAGTGGTGTAAAGAACGACTAGTGAGCTGAGACTCGAGATTCGAAGCGGGTTCGATGGGAAATGGGAGAGCGCACTGCTCCCGTTTTTATATGCTTTGGTATGAGCCCCGAGATGTGCATTGGCCTAGATGAGCTGAGAGGCGTTTGAGTTGTCTGTGGTCATCCCGTCGGCATGTTGTGATGAAGTTGTATGGAAGACTGCAAACTCGTTTCATGAACGCCCGTTGCTAACATTAATTTGGACCGAGGGTGTCATATAACGAGAGCTGTCCAATATTGTCGTAAGTCGCTGAGACTGGGAGGCATCTGCCATGTCCGTGTTTTACCTGATGCTCGACAAATGGATGGGATGCATAGGGATATGTCGGCCAGAGCGAAATATCCCGGGCTGACTACAGATAAACCGCTATTCAGCCGCTTTCACCAAAGATGCCAATACTCACCTTCATAAAGCATATTGAATAAGAAACCCAGAGGTACTCACGTTCCGTCTCCACACTGCGTACTCGGACCGGCGTTTTAGTGGCGCCCGATCAGGTCTCGATCATATAGCGGTGCTTCTCTGTATTCAAGGCGCGGCCGCTCAAACCCCCATTGGTCCATTATCCCCTCGACCTTCCCGTTGCGTACAAGTCTTTGTACGGAAATAACCTCACCTCGCTATCACTTGGAAACAAGACTGGACGTTGTGCCATTTGATAGAATGGAACTTACCATAGACGTCAGCAAACACTAATAGAGGGTGGCTTAGGTTTCAAGAATTCTGATTAGGATAGACGAGCAGCCGGTCCCGAGTCAACGTTCGACAGGAAACCCTACGCAAGGCCCGTCGAAAATGTTTCGCGATCCAGAACGGAGTGTATTGTTCAGGAGAAGAATAGAGCAACATTGCATACTGTAGCAAAACGACTGTCCGAAAGCGACGACATCATCCCATCAATCCGAGGAACTCGAGCAACGGTCAAAGTCCCCTGCACGCGCCAGGTCTGTTGCTGTGGGTCAGGGATATTAGCATCCTTTGCGCGCCCCAGGAGAGGGGTACGTTACGCACACAGGATCTCTGCACGACCGCGTGCAGGTGCTTAACCAGAAAGGTTGATGGGCACGCAACCAACCGAGACCAGGGAGGCTGCACGGAACAAATATCAGAGCTATTTACCCCTGCGGCGCCCACTCGGATGATACGTACTGGACTTGTCATCGCAGCATACAGGGTGCGCAGAACTTTCGTCCGCATCAGCCTCTGGCCTTTACAGAGAGACTGGCTGGAGAGCAACAACTCACCAGCTCGCGCCGTGGCCCAGCGCGCCCACGTCGATCGGAGAACAGGCCGTCCCGATAGGCAAGTTGGCGAGGGCGGCGTCGAGACCGAGGAACGGCAAAAGCATGTCGTGGTTTCGGGACCCGGCGCTCTGCATCTGTTCGCAGCACTGGATCTTTCCGGTGTCGCACTGGCTGACTTGGCGGACGGTGAGCGCACGGGTGGGGGGTGCGGCACTGGCGCCGGTGAAGGTAAAGAGCGCGAGGACGGCCAGCGTAGAGACAGTAGTGGAGAACATTCTTAGATAAGAGCGATAGTTAGATGGTAAAGAGTGTGCTTGAATTGGGATTAGTTGGCTGGACGAAGTCTGAAGGACGGCTGACGGGGCTTTTATACCGCTGCTAGACGGCACGGCGTCCAGACCGCATACCTTGCGAGGAAAAACCCGAGACAGTCAGCATGACTATCGAGCAGGTAATATTGGCCGAGTCGTACACCGGTCATGTAATGCGGATCGCGCGACGGACTCAGGGTAGGACGGCCTTGAAATTTCATGGGATGGAGCCTGGAACGATACAGTGACAGAATGACAAGGGTGGATGTTCTCCAAAAGGCGGGGAACCCATGAGCAGCATCAAGTTCAGGACCAGAACCGAAAGAAAGCCTACAGGGTAGTCCCGAGATGGAGCAACGACTCGCAGACCACCGACGACATCGCGAGTCGGTTGACGGCGTCTCCGGGATCATCGCTCTGAATGAAGGTGGCGTGCAGGCGGCGTCGCGTCGGAGTCCGCCTCCTTCGTGGCGGACGCGGATCGGACAGATTCGATGAAGACGCTGAAACTCTGAGCCATTGTAGCCATGCGAAGGATGACTGGAATACTGATGAATAACGCATGACTGGGGTGCCTTTCCGCTGTTACAGTACGAGAATGGCAGCGTTTCTTCGTCCGATTGGAAAGGCAGGGGTCTGTAATCGTCAGAGTGAAGAGAAACTTGCAAGTTGCAGGTGGAAACGAGCAGTGACGTCTCGGGACAGGTGGAGCATGGCGTATTCATGGAACTACATTGCAGGTAGCGTTGAGTCTCGACGCACTGCAGGGAGGACCGAGTCGGGAATCGCCCGGGAAAATGATCCATCGAAGCAAGTCAATGGGAAGGAGACACGTGGCCCTTGCCTATCCTCCAGAAGAGCAGCAAATGCACTCGACCCTTCACCCTGTTCACCGTAGAAGGAAGATACGAGGCAGCGTAGGGGGGTACTGCAACCAGACTGAAGTAAACGTTGAGCCGCAAAATTACGATTGATCTCATGGCACAGTCAACGTCGGAGTGGTCCAGGTAAGGCTCAGCGATGGCGACGTTCATTCGCCTGTAGCAAAGAGTTCTTCGAAACGAGTTCATCCGTCTTCACACTAGTTGTGGCGGTGCTGCGACAGCGCCACAACAACAGCCACAATGCCACACATTCAAATTGGCCAGATGATATGACTAGTCTGTGAGGATAATATAATATATTCAACCTTTGCATAGACGTGCGCGTCTGTGAACGAACAGACAAGTAAACTACAGGTAATGGTAAGTCCATGAACGAACGGGTTCGCGAATACAAACTCACCCCACGATGTCTAAAGAACTAGTGCAAAGATGGGGGTGTATCTACGGGGGCGTTGTACTTAAGGTCCTCGAGCTCGCAAGGTACGGTACAACAATCTAGATACGTCAAAAGGCTATCACAACACTGTATGAGCTGTCAGAGTGATGAAGAGTGACGATAAGAGAACGAGAGATAAACATAACCCGAAAAGGAAAGAATGTCGCTAAATTTGGAATCTGTGCAGTTTGCCACAGCCTGAGAAACAGAGCGGTGTCACCTCGCTGATTCCCACAGTCACTCCAACATAGTTTTGAAGAGGTAATATAATATAACATTAGTACCTGATGTGGCGCGCTATAACGGTTAAATGCATGCATGCAAGCTATTCTCCACTTCGACTTAGGAAATTCTGATGATAGCAGCCGCACAACGAGGCCCAGACAACGCTCGTCGGACATCAATGCTTACGCTAAAATCCGTCGTGGTCAGAAAGTAGGGTGGACTTACTCGCAGACCGTGTTCATGTCAATCTCTAGAGAATGCAGCCCACCGAGATCAAGCCACCCTCTAAAGGATGATTGACTCATGCAGCACATCGGACTGGGGTCACTCATGGGCGTCGTTCTCGCAGCGCACGGGTGGGCATTACTGTTTAATTACAGTGCCAACATGACGGCGAATGAGCAGTACTGACCAGGAGGCGCCTTGGCCGAGCGCGCCGACGCTAATACGCGAGCACGCAGTCCCAATGGGCAAGTTCCATGCGCTGGCGTGCAAAGAGAACAGCTCTTTCAGGAAGTCATGGTTCCCGGACGCGCTTTCTGGAGTTTCTGGCAGCAATGGATGGAGTCCCGGCCCGTGTCGCACTGGCCGCCTCGGCGGGCTTGCAAGCGAGCGGGGTCCCGGAGGCGGGGAGGAGGCAAAAGAAGCCAATGAGTTTGGTGAGGACAGTGGCGTTCATGACGAAGGCGAGATGTAAGAAGTGTAAAGTAAAGAGAGACTGAGATACCGCCGTGAGAGAGAAAGTCGGATGAGAGGATTCGATGAGATGGGTGGAAGGGCAGGGTGAAGGAGGTTCTTATAGAACTGAGAGTTGCGTTAGGTTTGCTAGGATCAGTGCTCCTGATTCTACCCGCGAGGTCACTACGCTTGCACCCTTGCACATGCCAGGGAGAGCCTGAAGGGCTTGGTGAGATCCATGACAATAGTTGAACGAGCCATTTCATTGTCCAATGTTACTCCATTCGAATTCCCTTTCAGCAGTCGTGTCTGTGGCTAATTTACTACATTTTCATAAGATCTGTGTTGCGGCTCTTACTAGATTCTCCCCGACTCCCCAACTCCCCTCTACCCTCCAGCCTCGAGCTCGCAGAAATATGAGAAGGTCAGTTTCTACTAGGGCGAATGTCGAAGTGCAAATGAAAGTAGTACTTGCCACCGACACGCCCAAATAGCTTCACTTATCGATACGGCCGGAACAATGGCAGGGCTGCTGCTTTCTTGAGAATATTGCACCAATCAGAAGCCTCTATGTAGCGCCCGCACCCGCGAGTTCTCACGGGGTAGGCTGCCTTCAATCATGCCGCGGGCTGAGGGATACGACCTTCATGATCACTGACTATGTAGCCCGAGTCCTTCCATTACATACACTGCGACTGGTAGGTCGACTTTTACAGCGTAGAACTCAACAGCTGTCTTTCGTTGACCAACAGAGGCCAGTCTCCTCATTGCTAGTGCATGAATGTGGATAAGAGTCGTATTCGCAGGATCCTGGGGCCTCGACACCTGCCGCGGAACTCTAATCCAAGGGATCGGATGTTGCAACCAGCAAGCCAGCCGAAGAGTGCCATCGAAAGTACAGCAGATACTACTCTATATCAAAACCCGCAGTCACATATGGCTTGCGTGCGCGAGGAATGTCCTGCCAGCTGCACGGGGGCGCTCCCGCAAGTGCTGATCTCCTAACTTGGCTAATTAAGTAGTCCACGACTCAATCCGACCGTATTCCTCATTGTATGAGTCTCCACGTGAGTATTACAGTATTTATTCAGTTGTTCAGCGGATTGTAGTACACTTACACCTTGGCCGAAAGCTGTCTAAGGTCGACCCATTTGTCGAGCCGCCACAACTATACTGGAAGCTCCGTATATCTTACATGGATCACCTGTACGATAGGCATGCCGCCCCATTTTCCCCAGTTCCCTCGCGTAGTGGCGGCGCGAGTCGAAGTTCCTCCCGTACATCTCTGCCAAGGCAAGCACCTGGAAGTTATGGAGAAATTGCTTCTGATTCGACGATTATGTTGGCTTTGGATGCGGCTGGAAGTATGCGATTGGCACAGGAGTCGTCGCTCTCACCTGCCTCGTCGGACTTCGTCATACGGAGGGACAAGAGTCTGCCAAAGTCTATTATCACGGACTTCAGTACGTTTACACTAAAATGCTGTTTACCAGCTATGGATGTTCACAAATAATTACTGTGCGTCATGTGTTGAAGACGGTTCACAGACTACAGTAGTCAATACTGAAGCGGAGCACACGTCTTCCCAACAGGAGCTGAGCGTCCCGACTATAACAGTACCAGCGAGTGAACGGGTATGCCCTAGCGCAACGTTGAACCCTATAAGCTCGAAGGAGGTGTGCCGCTATCACCGTGGGTCCCTCATGTGCGTTTCCTTTCCCCGTAAGTTGCTGTCCGCTAAAAAAATGACGGATGCCAGGGCAAAGAGGGAGTCAGAGTACAAGGTCGAGATTCTGTGCGTGGCCCAGGGGACCAACTTGCGAGTGATTTCACATGAGCGACAAACCCCATCATTTGGTGGCACTTGCCTTCCGTCTGGTTGGGAGCCATACACGCATCCTGAGGGAGCGTTATATTTCTTTCACAAAGAGCAGGTTGGTATCAGTCATATAGGATTTGCATACTCTCAAACACGCCCCACAGCGCGTATATACTGACGCAAATATCTATGACCGCGAATACGCAGATACTATATCGGAGTTGACGTGCTGTCTGACACGGAAGATAGAAGAGACCCGTCAGATGGGCGTGGATATACCCGAAGACTACGAGACGGTGCTAGAGCCTCCAAAGGCGGACGATCCTTCTGAAGACTGGGGGTACTACTTTGTTGACCATGTGTCGCAGTCACTCTTCTGGACCGACTCTTACCATCCGGATGAGTGGCTCCGAGAAATAGCAGGAGAGACCAACAGACAACACCTGCGTAAGCCCAGCTACACTCTTCTCTAGGTCTTATAACTAATTCTTTGACAGAGCTCGAGCTTGGGAGTTGTTACTGGTACGTTACTCTCTGTCCGGTAAGTCTGCAGCGTTCTACCCTTTCCCCATTGTCTCACGTATGCCCTTCCACCAAAAGACCGACCTGACGCCTCCCCATAACCGACATCAGGTATCACGTGGAATTGTACCCCCACCCTCGAGAAGTTTCAGAAGAGCACATCAAGGAAGTGCAGGCAATCTTATTACATGCCAGCATCGGTTTGTAATCGACCATCTTTAATGCCCCCCGCGTCTGAAAGGATCCCCCAGATTCATTGACGTCCCTCTCGTCCACTTCGCCGTATCCCAGTGAAGATACGCAGAAGATGCTGACTTTGGTATCGAAAGCGAAGGGTATGGCCAGGACACCAGATTTGAAATGAATCGAACTCAGTTGCTCCTACAGAACTCGGGAACTCGAACGGATACACTGCTTGCGTCGTGGGTGAGCTTCCCATATTTTGTTTGTCAGCTTGGACTGACAAGGATAAAGGTAGGCTGATGAGCGTGTTAGGTAAGTCGCCTGCGAGGCGTTGCGCAGATTTCTAAGTCTGTATTTTGTAGCGCATGAACGGTTTCTTAATTTCCACGGACAACTCATTGCTCGCCTGAGCCGAGATCATGCAGTTTACGAAGAGGAAAAACGTGGACGTTCATGGCTGTTAGCCGTGCTATCGCCGTTACTCTTCAACGGTCCACGGTTCCATCTCAAGACGCTGGATGAAATCTGGGTCGACCATATAATAAACTACCAGTGCTGGGCCCGCCTGATCCGGAGATTGCAGGACGAGTGGCAGCTCATATCTATAACGGTCCGTATCAGAGTACAACACGCTTTTGCGACCCAGACTCCGCAAGGCTGACCGTCCTGTTCGTGTAGTCCACGGTGATGGTCACTGTGAACGTTGGATTCCTGGCGATCCAGAGCGTCGATAGGGCGGGCGACACCCGCTCGACCGCGCAGCTTACTGGGTACCTGTCCGCCGTGCTCAGTATCGCTAGCATCATCGCCGGGCTGATCCTCTCGAGGCAGCACAGAGCGCTCAAGCAGAACGAAGCGACGATCGCGGTGAGTGTTGGGAGCGTCCGGCGTGAGCGCAGGGTCCTAATGTAGCCCAGCAAGCATACTTGTGGAGCAAGCACAGCGAGCGCTGGGGCCTGGAAGTGCTGGCCATCATGTACAGCCTGCCGTATGCGCTCCTCATGTGGGCGTGAGTACTAGTCCGCTATGATGTGTTCATTCCACCCGGCTCACTGCCGCCTCGTGCAGAACGTGCGCGTTTTGCGTGGCACTGACGTGCCAGTACTTCGCGTTCAATCCGAGCATCGACACGGCCAGCGTTGCGGGCCGCCTGGGCGTCGGGCTGGCGTGGCTGTTCGTGCTGGTGCTCACCGCGTGGGTCGTGCTGGAGAACTGGGAAGGCACGGAAGGCCACTCGGTGCGGGAGCACGTCGTTGACTTTGTCGATCACGCACGGGTGAGAGCGGCTGGCGCTATGGCTTTTGTGAGGGACCGGCTACGGGGACGCTACGAGCAGCATTCACTGCTCCCGCTCCATCGGTCTGCGTAAACCACTGCGCTTCACGCTCCGATGGTATGCTTGCCTGCATTTCAAAGTTATTCGTTTGTGCTCTTTCATCCCGTGGATGACGTATTTCGTTTTCACTTGAGGACAGTATATATTCTGCTGTTGTGAGTGTTCGTTACCTATACCTTCTATGTCAATGCGAACTCCGTCTGACTTCCAACTCACGCAGGACGCGCGCCTTACGGGGCAGAGTGACAGAGCCGAGAGGGCGCCGCCGCATCCACGTTCTCCGCCCCACCAGTCTGCACGAATCATTGGATAGACCTTGCGGTACCGGGACATCCTCGCATGCATTTGTTGGCGTAAATTTCTCCTACATTGTTCTTTCGTCCTCAGGCTGTGCGTGATATATGTATCTTGTTTTCGACCGGACAAGTGAGGCTGCAGTCTCTGTGTATGGCTCGGAATGTCGGCTGATGTTGTCTGGGCTTAGCCGTATGCTCTCCTCCTGCGGGGGGTTCTCATCTCCCATGTGCTCTATATATCTCATTTCGACCGCCGTCTGCCCCCGAGCCCTGCGAGACGTGCGCCCGGGCCTTCTCGGGGCTGAGTTCAACCCGGCTGTCTCGGGCTTTCGTCCTCCTCCCCGCTGGATGGTGCCGGACAGCCGAGGACGGTCGACCGTCCGCAGACGCCGCAGCTCCCGCCGCAGTCCGAGTCGTTCCGTGCACTCGGCCAACCTTCGTGGACCAAGCGTGGTGGCCTCGTATGCTTATCTGGCATCTAGCGAACTATACCACCTCCTCGTCTGCCGACTGGATATCGATGTGTGACGCGTCTCCAGGGACGAAGAGGGCGGGGTGGGACGGCAACGCGGATGATGCCACAGCCACAGACGGGTGGACGCCAATTCGCCTGCCAGAGCCGAGTCAATCGGCGCGTGCATACTAGTATGAAGACTACTAGTACTCTGCGTGCGACGACACCCCACCGTGCTGTCCTGGCCCTTCGGTTCAAAAATCTCTCGATCCCGGAATTGACGAGGAGGATAAAAGATGGGCGGTGGGAATGGGGAAAGCAGAGAGCCTCCGCCCTTGGCTTGAGTTGGGACGCGCTCGAGCAGTTGCGGCGGTTCTTCCCGCCGAGGTAGCCGGGGACTTTGTGTTAGTTCTGCCCTGGGGGAGTGACCATAGACAGCATATACCGTCCACTGCTTCCTCACAGCGTTCCCGTCCGAGCGCCGCGCGTTCTTCCGCTCCCCACGGCGAGAGATGTTTGCCAACACATACCGACAACCGTATCACTCGCTCCGAACCGTCAAACTCTGAGAGAGCACATTTTCTGTAACATTGAGCAGATTAAATAACAGAGATATACGGTATATGCGGTCACGTGTGAGAGCGGTCGAAGCAAAGGTCCATAAACACTAATCCCGAAGAGCGTCTGGGCAAAGCTACCCGTTCGCGCGTCAAGGATTCGAAAAGATGTGGGATAAATGAAGTTGAAGGTATTAGTATCGACGGCCGCCGGTCGGCTGGCTGGCTGGCTGGCTATGCACAGGCCCTGTCCTAAGCGACGTGTTTGTGAGCGATGTGCGGGTGTATGCGCAACTGAAAGGAGAGGAACGCACAGTAAGCGACTAGGCGCTGAGGGTGACGGGCACGCAGCCGGCGGAAGCCAAGTTCAAGGGACCGCCGCCTGGAGAGTACATTGTGAGAAACGACAACGATGAGACTGCAAAGCGACTCACTGGAGCTGTCCTCGCAGCAGACAGGCTCGGCGTCGCTATCGCCACCAAGCATAAAAAAGATCAGTCTCACACCACACCCCGCGACCAAGGAAGCACTCACCAAGACGCGCCCTGGCCGAGCGCGCCGACGTTGATGGGCGAGCACGTCGTGCCGATGGGGAGGTTCGCGAGGCTGCCGGTGAGCCCGAGCATGCCCTGGAGCGTGTTGTGCTGGTCGGAGCCGGCCGGCTGGACCTGCTTGCAGCACTGCAGCGTGCCGGTGTCGCACTGGCTGCTCTGGCGCTTGAGCGGGGTGGCGGCGGCGAGGAGGAGGAGGGAGAGGAAGGAGAGGAGGGTGGTGAGGGTGAAGAACATTGTTGGTGTGTTAAGGAGAGTGGTGAGTGAGTGTGTGAGTGTGTTGGTTGGAGACGCGAGATGAGAGACGAGTGGTTGGATGGGGAGAATGACGAGGAGAAGGGGGTTTTTATACCCGTTTAAGTGGGATGTGGACGGCAGAGTATTACGAATACCTGCGTCGAGGATCGTGCACGTCGACTCAAGTGCGGCGAGGATGATCTGCAGCGAGAAAGAAACAGTTGCAGGGAAGCGTGCATCGGGAGCACCAGGGTGCCCCAGATGAATGTTTCCGAGCACAAGTTTGCCCGGACGTCGTCCAGTGCGAATCCGAGTCTCCTCGCCAAGAGCGTGTCAAGTCAAACCACAGTATGACCTTGATGTCGGCACTTTCAATGTATCATCTTGTAGACAGACTCAATGAGTAGGAGACTCCCTTGCAGTGGACAGTGCGACGAGGATCAGGGAGGAGGCTCGGAAGCAGATCTGGTGAATCAAGATTTGATGGCACCCACGTGCTTTAGGCGTTCTAAATGAATTCGAAGCCACCGATCGAGTGGCTCCTCTGCACTGACCACACTGCCCGTTTGAATCGCTCTCTTCACGCTTTTGGCATGAATAATTCCAAGGGAGAAGCCCGACTGGCCTGAGGCGAGCAGTGCGTTGTCAGTCGGATTTACCGTGGACGGCACTTCACAGACCTCCCCGGCGTTCTCGACAATCTCAGTGACGCCTTAAAGGGTTTTCTAGTGTGACATGGTGTGACACTGCGTTGACCGTGTCACGACCCGTCGTCCTTGCTACAATATATGCTCTCTCCCCGTTCGAAACAAATTCATATAGTTATTCAGGCAAATGAAAATGATCGGGAAGGTTTCTGTGCAAGTGAATGCTTGAATACGTGCACGAAGTAACTCAACCATCTTTCAGCCACTTTCTGCTTACACGCCGGAACTGGGCATTGCGCCTCCCCAGAATTGTGCCTACGATCTCACGGCCAATTGAATGGAAGGTGACCATATAATGGCCGGCCGAGAAATTACCCCAACACGCAGCCTTGTAACTCGGTGGTAACGCTCCAGAAAGCATTGCATCCTTTGTTGCTAACGTCAATAGCGACAGAGGACCTTTAGGGATACTTGACCCGACAGCAAAAAGGATTGCCCCTGGCATCCAGGAGTAGCAGCCAATTTGGTACCATGTACAGATCCTCACACTATACGCGCCTGGTCCGTGCGGGCTTTTGAACCCGAAGGATCTCAATCCTCCTTCAGCAGGGCATCTCTATTCTGCCCCGCGGAGAACCGTCAGCGCATCTCTGGAATATGTAGTGGATGATATCATGATCCCCGCTATGTAAAACCAATACCTGCGTAATTTGAACGAGATTTGGTGGAGACGGAATCATATAACACACCCAGTACGTCAGCGAAACCCCGAGGCATTCCTCTTCCTCACTCAAGGAGGCTGCGCTGCTGCCTTCCCCTTGCCTTTCGAGTTGGCCTTCCCAGTCTTGTTCCTACTGCCCGTCCCTCCAACCTTGTTCCCCACGGTGGGCTTCTTCCCCGCCGCGGGCTTCTTCCCCCCAGCAGGCTTCTTAACTCCCTTTCCTGCCTTCTTCTTGGGCTTCGGCATTGGCTTTGTCGCGGTCGGTGCATCTGAGCCCTCATCTTCAGATTCGTCACGGTCCTCCTTTGGATCTGGGCTAGACGCGCGGGAGCTGGCTGGACTGATCGATGCATTCGGAAGGCCCCGTCCGCCACTGGTATGCGCCCCCCCTCCGCCTCCGTTGCCCAGAGTCTAGGGCGGCTCGATGGATAAGCAAGCGTTCAAACGTGAGGACCTCGCTTACCTGGGCTAATATTGTCATCCATCTGCACCCCAAGCCGAGTCGGGAAATGAATGAATAGGAATGTGACTGCAGAGCAAATAGATGTGCTCGCCTACATTTGTTGCTGCATGGCATTGCTCGCTGCTATCTGCTTCAGGAGCTGGCGGTTCGCATCGGCTAACACCTGGGTCGCTGCATCCACTTGCGGCTTGGGCTCCGGTTTGACAACAACATCGCCTGTGCTCGTGGACCTGCCTCCTCTTCCCTGACCGTCGCTGTATTGGCCTCTATCATAGTTGGCCTGCAGGGAACGCTGGTATGTGAACGTCCAGTACTGGGATGTATCATATGCAGCTACAGGCTGTAACACACATGATATAATTCAACATTAGATGGGTGGTGGCCAAATGTACCATGGGTGAGCACGAACAGACCTTCAAGTCGTACCCGCCTTTCCTGCTGGCCCCCCATTGAGCAACGACATACTTCTCTCCGGAACTGTTTCTGATGCTGATACCAAGGCCTTGTAGGTGAATCTCATATTGTACATCACTGACGCCCTTACTAGTAATAGTTGAGCTCCCTGAGCGCCGCAGTGATTCGGAAGGGATATCTGTGGTGTAACGCCACCAGGCTGTCCTTCGTCTGCAAGCGTCATGTCATTGCGTACGGAAGCCGAATTTTGGGCACATTTATGTAGAGAACGCACGTCCGTTATGCTGGCACGCAGGCGCTTTTGCACGGCGGTCAGCGTGTAACCGCCACGCTGCCGCTCAACCCGGAATTCCTATCCTCGGTTTCAGGTCCGAGGTCCCTCGCGCCCGTGGAGCTGAGAGTTGATACTTACGGTCCATTGTCCAACGTACCTCGCCTCCCAGAGCTGGAGCTCGGACCAAGAGGCCGCGTCGGGCCCGATAGCCAGCACACGCCCAGTCGAGACGTTCGTGATATTGTAGATCCCCTCCTGAAGCATAGTTGCGGGTCGTCCTACCGGACGCGGACACCAGGATGGCAGGGGGGGATATTTATCGAGTCCTATGCGTAATCGAGGTGCCGCTCTTCAGCGGATGATATCTATGAGCGCTCGAGCAAACAACAGTACACGTCCAAACACTTTTGTGACATTCGAAAAGACTATGACTCACCACTCGCCTTCCTCTTCCATTCTATCCAATGAATTGAACCTTGTCTTATCTTGGGGAGATTCGGAAGCACCGGCATAAGCGCCTAGGGAAAACAGCGGGAAACGGGATGCCGGAGGATGCAACGAATGGAGATGGGCTGCTTAGAGATACTATTGCACACAAGATTGATAACATCCAGGGTATATCGATAGGCGCCTGTTGACCGATGCGATGTTTTCATATGATGAACATATGATAAGGCTGCTTTTGCAATACTGGCAAATGGGAGAGGTCGTCTAAGAAGAGCGCGCTATACTGGCGTCACGACTCTTGTCCAAAGCGGTCATGAGAAAGGGCAGAAGGCAGCGCTTGAGAGAGAAACGCAGAGAAGTGAGGAATGCCATTGTAAGCAAGCAAATGACGGGAGAAGATAAGTATGTCTCACAGGCATTCACGTTCACTGTACCCCCAACCAGATTTCCAATGTCCTCCGAGTCTCAGCAGTCGTCTGACGAAGACGAGTACTATGAGAGCCTGCCGGTCGACGTAAAGCGGGCCATACAGGGCTTGCGAGGGCTGCAAGTAGCCCAAGTCGGAATCCGGAAAATTTTCCAGAAAGAAGTTCTGGCACTGGAGCGCAAGGTACGTATACCAGTCCAATAGACAGAAAACGATAGCCGATACAGCCACGTCGAGCAGTACTCCAAGGACCTGAATGCCCTGTACCAACGGAGAAAGCAAGTCCTCCTTGGCAAGATTGGTGTAAGCAAAGAGGAGATCATACTCGGTGAGGTAGAGAGCCTGAAGGAGGACGAGGAGTACCGCACTCTCCCTCCACTCCCAGAAGGTGCCACGACCGCGCCGCGCGCGCGGGTTCCCATGTTCTGGCTGAGAGTATTGAAAGGCCACCCCGACATCGAAAAGATGATACAGGAGAAGGACGAACCCGCTCTGCAGCATCTCACAGATATCACAGTCTCATATCCGACAACACCCTCCCCTTCCTTCTCCATCCACTTCCGGTTCTCCCCCAACGAGTTCTTCTCGAACTCGGTGCTGAGTAAGACGTATGTCTACAAGGTTTGTTGATTCGTTTCCTTGCTTGCGGGTGTTGCCGCCATTTGTGCTGCTGAGTGAATTGCAACCGTGCAGGATGAGATCAGCTTTTTCGGCCGGCTTTTGTACAGCCATGTTACTGCAGGTACTGTCCAATGGAAGAGCAGCAAGGACCTGACGAAACTGCCCGAAGAGACCAAGAAACTCAAGGACAATTCACCTGGACGAGAAGACGAAGAGTCTGACGATGAAGGCGATACAATGTCCTTTTTCAGTTTCTTCTGCCCTCCACCATCCATCACCCAGCCCGAAGAGAGCGATGATGCAAGGAGGGAAGATGAGCGGGATGTCCTGCTAGAAGAGGAATTTGAGATTGGCGAAGCACTGAAGGATCACGTGCGTATACATGCATGCGTCTTTTGGCCGAGAGGCTAACAAGCAGCAGGTCCTTCCAAGGGCAATCGATTATTTTACTGGGGATGCACTGTGGCATGAGCTGAATGAAAACTCGGACCATCGCTCAGACACTGACACAGACAATTCGGAAGAAGACGAAGATGCTGACAACAAGGCAGAAGAGGCAGAAGAGGAAGAAGGGGAAGAAGATTAGGTCCGGATGGGGTCACAGCATGGCACATATGTTTTGGGTCCCATTGTTACGTTTCTTGAGTACTCGAGCACACTTGAATACCTGTACAGTATCGAAATGTTCACTGACACCATGCGTCTGTCATTGAGGGGAGCTATGGTATGGTTGCCCTTACAAATGTAGTGCCATACAGTATACATGCACAGATAAGAAACTTGTCTAGGAGGCAGACCTTGGGATTGATATTTTGCTGAGTCAAGACACACTTCAACTGCATTGGAAGGAGAAGACAATGGCAACAACCTATAACCTTGCCAAGACAAAACAACCACAATAATGTCACAGAATATTGGATGCACCCGGGACATGGGGGCAGCATGAGAAATCCAAGTTCAAGAACTGCACCCAGGTCTGGAATATCAGAGGGAACTAGTGTGGGGGAGCTATTCAGTGAACTCCCTAAGACATCTAGCCTTGGTGAAATATCTTTAGCTGTGAAGCTTGTCAATCTACAAGAAATTTCCCCATAGAAACATTGGTCCTCAATTGTTACACCCAAGGAGAAGCAAATTCATCTGAGAGCTCACGCCCAAATATCACATGCTGGCTATCTTCATATTTTTCTTCCAATGGTGTATATTATAGCACCCGTCAACTCGGGTCACTTCTGACACACACCATATGATCAATCTAAGTTGACTCAGATAAGGTCTAGCATCATACCATCACTTGAAGACCTCATGGCAACCCTTCTGGACCTGGTGCTAGTTCTTCAAACTTTCTTCAATGACGGCCTCGATATGCACTGTGCACTGTATGTTTTGTTGGCTTTACCTGCGCTCTATCCATTGTTCCGGTTGCATGAAAATCAGACTGCAAGATGGGATCAAGGAGAAACTGGCTGGTTCACTACAATTTGGAAGCTTCTGTACTTTCTCTTTCATCCAGAGGAGTCCCGAGGAAGTCCAGAGCTCGATGGGGAACCACCCTGGGACTGCAAAATTCAATTCATGTACCATCACCTAGACAATATTACCTCGACATTGAAGGGGATATGAGTGAGTTCAGTCCAGCGTACTCTTTATATCACCCTTCACCCATTATTCTATGCACTGAATGGGTGGACTGTATACTCTGCCCACAGGACAGCCCACCATGCACACCACGAAGATGTACCGAGATGAATCAAGTAAAATCTGTCGCGGAGACCGGAGCAGCCGGGAACGCATATCTGGTGGTTGGACATTCCACTGAGAACCTCGAGACCTCTGATCAACCCTAGGGGACTGGGTACATAGGTCTCAGCAAGACTATGCTACGGGTTCTCGGCAAGAAGGTGAGCCGCCCGTCCGGATGAGGCTTACAGATGGCAGTGCAACGAGGATCAGGGAGGAGGCTCGGAAGCAGATCTGGTGAATCGAGATTTGATGGCACCCACGTGCTTTAGGCGTTCTAAATGAATTCGAAGCCACCGATCGAGTGGCTCCTCTGCACTGACCACTGAGCATCACTGCCCGTTCGAATCGCTCTCTTCACGCTTTTGGCATGAACAATTCTAATGGAGAAGCCCGACTAGCCTGAGGCGAGCAGTGCGTTGTCAGTCCGATTTACCGTGGACGGCACTTCACAGACCTCCCCGGCATCGGGCGTTCTCGAGAATCTCAGTGACGCCTTAAAGGGTTTGCTGCATGACTTGGTTCGAACCCCAGTGGTTTTAGGAATACGACTTGACCGAGGGTGAAGGAAGGCCTGGAGAGTCGGGAACGGATCGTCGGCTCCGTCCAGCTGGGCTTCGCACATCACTTCTGTTCTCCGGCATGGACGTCGTTGTCAGCCGCCCGCTCACTCTCGACCGACTAGCAGCTCGAGCAACCCCGAACGGAGCCATGTCGCCCGCATATAGCCACTGTATCCAAGGGCGCGCTTGAGCTGCCTCTTGCCTATCGCCCCACCTCCGTAATGACCGGTTCGCGCTATGACCAATATTCGATATCACGCCCGCCCTGATCTGCGCTCGAGCCCGCGTCACCTCTTTTACAGCGGTCCCAAAATCGAAGCCGTCGGTGCCCGCGTGCTCCCACGAATTACTCAACTCGGCGGTTGATGAGCTTGTCACCGTCCCCAATGTGAACAGCTCCACGCCTTTCACGATGCCGCCCCGCCCCCCGGGATTACCTGCGCCCGCCTATCGTAAGCCTCCTCCCTCTTCACCTCGCGTACTATAAAGCCCCTCCTCTCTCACCCGAAACCCCATCTCGCGTCTCTGCCTTCCCCTACGTGCATCCACACCCAAGCCTCTCACCGCTCGCTTTACACTCAACCAACCATGTTCACCGCCGCGAAACTCGCCACCCTCCTCTCCCTCTCGCTCGCCGCCCTCGCCGTCCCCGCCCCCGGTGGCTCCGGCTCTGTCTCGCAGTGCAACACCGGCCCCGTGCAGTGCTGCCAGAGCGTCCAGAGCTCTGGCGACCCCGGCGTCACCTCGCTCCTCGGCCTGCTCGGCATCGTCCTCGACGGCGCGAACGTGCCCATTGGCCTGACGTGCTCGCCTATCAACGTTCTCGGGCTGGGGCAGGGCGCGTCCTGGTGAGTCCTGGTCGATCAGCAGGGGGAAGGAGGTGCTGATTGGCTGTTTAGTGATGCGAACCCGGTGTGCTGCGAGGACAACTCGAGTGAGTGTGCTTGACCTCTGCAGACACTTTGTTAGGTGCTGATGTATGTGTTCGTTTTGTAGACTCGCTCGTCTCGGTTGGTTGCGTACCCGTGAACCTGGTCGGGTAAATTGCCCTTTGACAAAAGGTACGCTTACTATCGCTTTCCAATTCTGCCTAGACCCATCAGCTGGTCTCAGAAGGAAGCGTGCAAAAGTGTCGCAAAGTTTCATTCGCAGACGATCGCTGTTCTTTGTTTTTGTTGTTCCGCAGATACACGGGTTTCGGGAGGGAGAGGAAATACGAAAGGACTGTGTTTATTACTTCCTTGTCGCTTCGTAGTTTTTAGGTTATGTTGTTCAATGTGCCATACACGATGTCAATTGTACATATGGAAAGTTCATCCGAGGACGGCTAAGCGTGTGAGGGTACTTGTCACTTCCTTGTTACGACTCCCCACGAATCCGGCACTGCACCTCTGATCTCCTGAGTATTTCTAGCCCAGCGACGCCTCACTCTTACTTGACATTATCGTGTTACATCCAGACAAACAACCATAGCGCCATGCGAAGAATACGGCGGTGAGGCCCTGCGAGCGCGGCGCAGTCTAGTACCTTGGACATAGAAATTTCAAGGGCAAGTGAACCAAAAGACCTGAGCAATCCGGTATGGTGCAACGCTGGTCCCGACAATCACAGGGATTATATTGTATGTACGCGTCAAAATCCAATTACTTTCTTATTTGTGGACTTCGGAACAGGTAGCTCGAACGTTGGAGTACTGGGACTTGTTCGTCACGACAGGACGGGTTTGTCATAGACGACCACTTTCTTCATCAGGAAAAGGTGCAAGCGTCTGACAGCGTCTGAGGCGCCTGACAGCAGACTGTCAGACCGCGTCAGACGGTCGTCGACCAATCAGATTGCGAGAAATTCTGACAGGCTCCCGACCGTCAGAACCTCCAATTTTGATTCCGTCACTCCAAATACACCAGATACTAGCTAGGATTGCAGGTACATGATTATAGAGCAAAAAGGAAATTATTACATGTGGTTTAGATGTGTGATGCCTGTAAAAAAAGTTGTCAGACCCATCAGACCGTCGGAGATTGGACTTTTTCCTGATGCTTGACAGTTCGTGCCACCGAGTGTGGCGTCAATAGCGGCCCCGGTCCTAGTGACCTCGGGATGATAGTTACATTACGCACGAGATCGCGACTGACACTGACAACCGGACACAGACATATTCATACATAAGAACGTCCAGGCTGAAGCTCCGACGTGCATTAATACTTCACACCCTTCCCGTCTGGTCCGATCGTACGCCACGACGTGCTCCTCCTCCGTGTCTCGGGCTTTTTGCCCCCCGCCCCGGGATTTTTCTTGGGCGTCGGCTTCGGCTTTGGGGCGGGTGGGAGTGCGCCGGGGGGAGCGCCATCGATGTTGGGTCCGAAGTGGGCCTTTTTTCCTTCTCCTTTTGCTGTATGGTCGTTCGTGTTCTGCCCGCCGCCCGTCTTGCCGTTGTTCTGGGTCTGCCCTCCGCCCGTCTTCCCGTCGTCCTTCGGCGGCAGAGGAGACTGGTAGTCAAATCTCCAGTACTGCGTGGGCTCCCCGCTCTCGCGCTTGGACGTGACCGTCAGCTGCCGACCCAACGGTGAGTCATAATAAATGCAGCAGGGCGAACGCGTATACCTTTAACCCGCCGCCGCTGCTTTTCCTGACTGCGACGTACGTCTGTTCGGGACGGTCGGAGATGCTACAGAAGTTCACGCGTTACTTGGAGCAGCGGCAGCATCATCTGACTGCGCGCGTGCTCTTACCGATAATACTGCGTCGGCGTCGAAGTCGGGACCAGGCAGAATTGGTAAGGGGCCGACACGGAGGCCACCGGGACGCCGACGCCCTGCAGTGACCATGATCCGGATTCCGGCGGACAAAAGCGTGGCGTGGCGGCGGACGCACCTGTGTGATACGCGCGTAGCACTTGTCGTTGTGCGCGGCTGCCAGCGTCACGATGAAGCAGTCGCCGGCGGGCGCGGGCCTGCGCAAGGTCCTGCCCTCCACGCGGAATTCCTGACCACGCACACATACGTATCCCGCCTCGCACTTGAAGAAGCACTGGCACACTTACACACCACGGTGTGGTAATGGGGCTGCTGAGAATGAGCTCCGACCGCTCGTCGGCGTTGGCGCCGATAGTCAGCGCCTGGCCGGTGTACACGTTCGTGATTTGGTAGGTCCCCGAGACCTGCGGGTGGATGGGCATGGCTGGGTTGAAGGTGGTCTAGTCTCCGCGAGTGTGACGAGAGCGGGAGGAGAGGATATTTATCAAGCCCCCCTCCCCCTTCTGTGAGCGAGGGAACGCGCGCTCACAGCGCTGATTAATTACAGTACGGATTTGTCCACCGGGAGATTGAACCTTGTCGTACCCTGACTGGATCGCTGATGCGTGAGCGGGGGGCGACAGCGGCGAATTAGCTACTCCGACAACGAGTACAGCTTGGATGGATAGAAGTGCTGCTTGAGCAATGACACCCAGGAATACCCGTAGGCGCGCGTCAACCCCAGCGATGTCTTCACAGGGTGGACATATGACAAGGCTTCCCTGGCGAGCAGGGTTCAGGCCCTCCCCAAAGAAAGACACCCGGGCGTTAGACATCAGCATGGAAGCGGGTCTGAAGCGCTGCATCCACGGGCATGACGAAGGCCCTGAAGACATTGTTAGATCCCCCAGACTGCTGGAGCATATCACTGTAAGCAAGAAAGAAGCAGCGAGAGATAAGGATGGCTTGTTGGCCCTCATATGATGTTCCTCGACACGCCCCACCCCCCAGATTCAGACATCACCCTCAGCAGATGTCCAGCCAAGAAGCACTAGCCGGTAGAGGGCTACAACTTGGCCAGGTCGGCTTCCAGAAGCGATTCCACCAAGAAATCTTTGCGCTGGAGTGGGAGGTAGGCACGAGGCAAAGACACCGCGGTCCTGATGGCTGACCGCGACACCCTCGGGACAGCACTCCAAGGATTTAGAGGCGCTGTACGAGCGGCATCAGGAAAACCGGGATGAGACTGCAAAGGTTTGCAAAGCCTTGCATACCTCGCAGACCTCCAAGCCTGCATCAGCACTTCTGCATCTGTCCTGACAACTCCTGACAGCTCCTGAGGAAATTTCCTCAGGCCCTCTCAGGAGCCCTCGGGAGCTCTCAGGAGCTCTCAGACGTCAGTCCCAGTGGAAATTGACAATTTTTTCATGTTTTTAAATATGTTTCTATATATAACAGGTCGAAAAACAGTTCTAAATACAGGGGAATATAGTAAGTGGCACTTTAAATACATGGATTTGTATTCTAGCGAATTTTGCAGCTGTCGAAGCCGGCGTGCCATAGGTTAGGTAATAGATCAAATACATTGAAAATAGCTACAAAAGCAGGAGGATATACAGACATCATGTGCCGCATATATGGGTTTCCCAGGTGCCAGAACGGACAGTCATGTATTGTCATGCTTGTAAAGATATTCACCGATGTTCTCATATATTGCCTCCCCCCCTCGATGTATTTACACATATTACTATAATTTTCTACCTTTCCTATTGTGTTATTGTCTGTATTGTGAGCCACCCTCCCGCCTCTGTACTGCCAGTCCCCCGACGATCGCACCTCCCCCGCGTCGCCCCAGTTCCCCCTCGTATCCGGGGTCCCCTTCCCCCCTCCCTACCTCGATCCCCGGTGAGGACTGTCTCCCATAACAGGTGGTGTAGTTGCAATGGGGACATACCTACACACCTTTTCCACCGGTATTTCCTTCTGTGCCGAGATTGAAGTCAAATATTATAATTTCATAATACAACTAGCACTTACTCACTATGTCCCTATGCCTTTGCTCATTGCTAGCCTGGAAAATCCAGCCTAAGGAAAAAGCATGTCATTTTGGTGAATGCCTTAGAGCACGACATGGGGGGATACCTTATAGTTAAGAGGAAAACGCGGCGAAGGTCGTTACTGTGACGTGACGACTTTATGAATCGCGAGAGAGCGGCAAGTGATGTCATACCGCGATCACTGCAGCTAAATATACATCAACGCGCTGGAGCCATGTCCGCGGCCGATGCTTTAACAGCTCACGCAGGCGACACGCGAGGCATGCACTCATGCGACGCACTCGACAGCGTCGCGTCTCCGTATGACGCACACCTGATGCAGGTAGAGAAGGTCAAGGGTGTGTCATGCAAGTGTCATTGAGCCGTCTGTGTCCTCCAAAATATAGAAGCAAATACATGCAAATATATTTAAAGTATCTAAAAACACGAAAATATTGTCGATTTCCACTGGGCGTCAGTGCTCAGAAGGTCCATTTTGTCAGGTCAGGACCCGTCAGGATGTGTTCAGCCACTGACCGTGAGAATCCACGCTGGTTAGGATTCTCATGTGATTGGTCAATGCTGGCGTGACTACTACTGGTCTCTAGTCTCACTACATGGCTGTTGTAGTGCCGACTACAAGTAACTGGCCTAGTGCCACTATTACTAATTTGTAGTCGTCCTGAGGTGTTGCTGTCAGGACTCTCAGGTCCTCAGGGATTCACAGAAGTGTTGATGACTGGCGAGTACTTCACTGGCAGCGACCTACTAGAATACATAGGAACTCTGAGACTCGCCACCCTTCGCACTGAATGCAATCCTCCCAATAAGTTATGGGATGCAAGTGATGTTATATCTTCCCACACACATCGAAGGTGCCACAACCGCATCCAACCGCAAATTGAGAGGTGGAAGACTATTTCAAGGGGCTCCCCCATGTACTATAGGTGGCCTGCTAGTACTCTATACACACAAATAGTCTCAGAAATCTGATAGTATGATTGTGTCTTATACTACTTATACCTGCCACTCCAGTTATTCACTACTTAAAGTCTAATAGGGGAGCAGGGTCTTTCATCACTCAGGAAAGAGGCTTGAATAAACAGACTTAGTAGGTGAGCTCATATTTATGCCTTGCTGGTGCCAGGGTTCAGACCTCAAATGGAATATATCTAAGTAAATGCATGAGACCACAACAGGCGACACGTGTGAAAGGAGGATAAAAAAACACGAGGAAGGTTTGAACCATTGACATATCATAATATTTCTTCCATGAGACAAATGCGTAACCATTGCACCACATATTCAACATTACAGGTAACAATAAATATATATCTGGTCAATTACCCTCTCAATGTGTGCAGAAGCTGGTTATCACCGGCCCGCACAGTGCACATGATGGGCATCCATAGCTTATTGGGAGGATGCATCAGGAAACCCGGAAAAGCTCTTAGGGTCTTTAGCATCTTAGAGTGTCTTAGCATCTTGGCTAAGATGTCTAAGACGGTTAGATGGTTATGATGCTAAGACACTTCCTGCACATTGAAGCACCCGTCTACACAAATGTTTGGGAGCTAGCTAATACATTCATGTGAATGGTAATCAACATATTTGTTGACATAGAATGATTACGAGTCCTGAGTTTACGAAGGATGAGTCCTTACCTGCAAAATTGGGTGCGTGCCGAACATTGTACCAATGGGAATCACTGTTGCCAAGAATGCGTGCGACTTTTGTGCTGTAGTCTTGAATACAGAATTCAATGTCCGCTTTAATGTCTGCTTGTAATGGAGACTACAAAGAGACTACAAAATCGGATTTGTAGTGTCTGTTTGCAATCATAGTGTGTTTTCATCTTGGGTTGTTCATGTATTTCTGTGGTTTCTTCTATGAAGAGATTTTTCTGGGTTATCCATCTACTGGAATATTTTGAGCATTTGATCATATCACCTTCCTTTACTGCATGCACTTTGTCATGTGTGGCATGTTGTTACCATGGGAATTGACTTCTGTGGCTGTTTGTAGTCGGTGGCTGAGGTGCCGCGCCGGTTGGGATCTCTGGTGTCTCATTGGCTCCTGCTTACCATGACATAGCTTGACTGCTGAAAGCACATTGATCTTATGTTGGCTATCAGAGGTTCTTCTTGAATGTTGGGCTGGTGTTCTAAAATAATACACTGACTGCTGAATAGTTTGATGGATTGCTACTGTGGGAATTAGTATCAATGTTGATTGTTTTTCGCATGGTTAGTCTGAGTCTATGTCTGGTTGCAGGGAGTAATCTATGATACAAGTCTCTCTTTGGTCACAAACCAGGCATCTTGGGCATGTGTTTTTCAATCTCTGCTGCCTCTGGAACCCACTCAGTGGTGTCTATCTGTCCCCATGAGACATTGAAGCTAGTACATGTGTAATATATATTTTGTTTCTGCTCCCAGCTGCTTGGGGTATTGTCTGAGTACCCTTTCTGATGATAGTGTCCTTCAGCTTGGTTCAGGAAAATGAGTGTGAGGGAGCTGCCCATAGAAGATTGGCAGCAAACAAGCACCATGATTCTGGTGGGGTGCTACCTGGACTCAGTAGGTATTATTGACTGTCTCTTCCACTGGGGATAAAAGACCTGTGTGACAGAGCTGCCAATCTTTGATTGGCAGCAGAGGAGCATTTTGATCTATGTCACTTGTGTCTAGTAGTGCAGCTCGTACTATCCCTTGGGCTGGGTACAAATACAATTTTGTAGCCTTTTTGTAGACACCAATATAGACCCACTTTTAATCTGTCAGAGTGGCAGGGACTATTATGGTATAATGATGCCAGGGCCACAGGAGGACAAAGTATGAATGAAGGGGACATTGCAGATACAGATCTAAGGGATTTTAATATGCGCATAAGAAAGAGTACTGTATACATCAATTGGGACATCTATACACCCAATGCTATCACTTATCAGACACAACTCAGGACTCATGTCCTGCCATGCATGGCAATGCCCTCTATTGACAGGTACCATGGAGAGTGAACCATGCTGGTTGGGACTCAAGGCTTCTGATTGCCCTTCTTATGTGAATGACTACAATCCAGTGTAGTCCGCCCTTACAGCTCTTCCACAGGGTCAAATAGAGGCTGTATTATTTGCACACAAATATTTGAATGAAGTATGATGTAGAAGACCTCTAGTTTCTGTCAGAGTACAGGTTTACTACATCATAGTATATTCAGTGCAAAAGTTGAGTCCATATCTAACTTCAGAGCTTGCAACAATACCATGCAAAGTAGCAACCTGCACCCAGGAATTAGAGTTTGGAATTAGCATGCTTACCATGGGAAACCCTTTAAGAGTTGAAACTGTTCACATGATATCATTTTCTGACTTTATTTTGCCACTCTGGCTGATGAGTCATGCCATTGGGTACTATCAATAGTACTTATAATACCACACCCAGTTACAGGGTGCATCCACTGTACCGTGTATATAATATATGTGAAAGGCCAGGCTCTCCGAGCTTCAGAAAGAAGAGCACCAAGGCAATCACTGAAATTTGAGACTACAAAATGAGATTTGTAGTCACAACTACAAGCAGAGTATGAAATTGATGCAATGGCAACTACATATTTTATGCACACAGTTTCTCCCCATCTGCATTCGCACAGTACTCAACATTCAACAAAGACCTGGTAAAGACACTTCCTTCATTCCTCAGGACTCATAATTGTGGACAATACACACCTTGCTTTACGAGTAGTTCCTGCAGTTTTTGTAATACTATACACTTGTAAGAACAGTACATGGCAAGTGTTCAATTACAGACCTTTTTGCAGGGTCCCTGCTAGTATTACTAGGCATGGCCTGTATGCCAGGACTGTTTCCTGGGCTCCTATGGAGATGGGATAGTAATATGATCACCCTGCTGGAGCCAGTCTATGGCCTTGGACCCTGGGAAGCTTATGTAATATTCTGTGAGGGAGCTGAGTATTCAGAAAGATGTGGAAAAATGAGGGGAAATCCAAAGATATGTCTGAAATACCACATTATTAGTACTGAAAATAAACCAAAGATATAAATAGGCGCCCAGGGATAGCCATGCAGCAGCTCATATAAAATCAGTAAAAATCCAGAAAGATCAGGGGAAATTTGGAATGGGTGATGAGATGATTGTGCATTATTGCATGACATCAGATTAGTTAATCAGTGGTTATAAACAGTGAAATATGATATTGCACCCATCAGAACCATGTTTTGGTGCTTTTGCCACATCCACGAATGTTTTCCCATGCTGATTGCAC